CCAACACGCGTGGCCGTAAACACCAACACCACCAACACGCGTCGCCGTAAGCAGCCCCGGTGTTGGGTTCACGTAGCGGTAAAATTTGTGGGCGACACACGTACAGGGACAGACAATACGGCCGCTATCAACACGGCCGCTATCAACACGGCCGCTATCAACACGGCCGCTATCAACACGGTCGCTATCAACACGGCCGCTATCAACACGGCCGCTATCAACACGGCCGCTATCGACATTGCCGCTATCAACACGGTCGCCATCAAAACGGCCGCTATCAACACGGTCGCCATCAACACGGCCGCTATCAACACGTGCTAAGCTCTAGACGAAAAATACTATAGTTGGCTTACAATTGGTATGAAAAAAAGTATTCGATCGCAGCTCCGAGCATTCTAGTAACAATATTTAATGCATAATATATAACTAAATGCACAATAGAACTATAGAATAACAGGACTAAACACCGCTAAATAATACTAAGACGTCTTCACGTAAGTTTTGTCAATGATGTATTGTGGAGAGAATAAAGAAGGAAAATCTTGAGCAGCGCGCGTGCGTGAGGCGGAGGCTTGCTCATGGCCCCATCCTTCTGTCCTTTCCTTTACTCCTTGACCCTTTCCTCCCCCCTTCCTCAACAGCCCCTCCCATCCTCCTCTTCAACAGCCTCTCCCTTCCCCTCTTCCTCACCAGCTCCTCCCCTCCTCCTCTCCTCGCAGGACATTCCAGTAGGACGATGGCCCCTAGAACTCCCCAGCACTCCTTCCTCCCTTTCGTTCTCTCCTTCCACCAGCTTGAGGAAAGGAAGGAAAGGGGAAGACCAACGGACAACTTTTGTTGTAGTTTGCAATTTCAAAAACAACAGGTTTCGATAATTCATCGTTGAAATGGCGCTATATAATTAATGTTGAGTTGAATTGCTCTTATAAATGTGTGGGATGACAGGATCTTAGAGTTTCATAGCGTGTCCGGTGCATTGAAATTAAGGACTTCGTTTATTATTTACATTTTATCACTCCTTTCTATACTCAAGCGAGGACTGTGAAATGTAAAGATAGCTTCAAGCCAATGCGGGACAACTTTACATTTGTGAAATATGGATTAAAAATTAAAAATATTTAATTCTATTTAGCAAAATTTTATCCACATTACCCTGCATGTTGCACTCCACATTACCCTGCATGTTGCACTGCACATTACCCTGCATGTTGCACTGCACATCCCATGGCTACATAGGTACACATTAACATGCAAGACGTGACTGCAGTTTAACATTAATTAAACGGGAGCCGACGCTTGCTCTCTTCTTGACAATGGTTAAGAATGCATGGGAAACAATTATAGAATAATTAGTGTTTAAACAATTGCGAGGTGTGAGGATGAATAATTGAAGTGATGATAATCACGCGGTCAGGCAGCCTAATTGCCGAGATTCAGGCAGATTGTGCAGCTACCGAAGGTGAATATTACAATTATGAGGAATATGAGTATCAGGTATAATAGTCGTTTAATATTGCAATGGCTCATCTGCTGAATTTTATTATGGAAACCTAAAGGTAAAGAATTTTTTTCTGAAACTCGGAATTGTTGCTCGCATCTCTCCGAGATTCAGCAATACGAGAGCAGTTTCTTTGGATCGCAAGCTATGCGGTGACTTCATACTGAACGATATTAGTCAGTTTTAAGACGGTCATAAGTAAAAAAACGAACAAAAAACTCTCCTTGGTCCAATGAACTTTTGTTCATCTGCTTTCGTTGTAATGTTTCGTGCTTCAAACTTCCAATTTTGATGGAATAGCCACGTCGCAAATCACCTCAGAGAGTCGAGAACTCGTCAGTTCATTGACAACACATCCGCTGTCTACCTGCATCCGGCGAAGAAATAACCGCATGGTTTCTTCCGTAGAAAAATTTTACAAGTTCTTCATAGTTCTTTTTATTGAAGGAAGTTGACCGCAAGAACCGCTTGCTGTTCGCCATATGCCAGATGGAGCGTGGAAGCCGGTCTTCCACACTGACTGAGTCGGAGCTGCCGGCCTATGCAATAATGTACTGAATGCACCTTATTGCACCTCGGTGCAGTAATGTACTGAATGCACCTTATTGCATCTCGGTGCAGTAATGTACTGAATGCACCTTATTGCATCTCGGTGCAGTAATGTACTGAATGCACCTTATTGCACCTCGGTGCAGTAATGTACTGAATGCACCTTATTGCATCTCGGTGCAGTAATGTACTGAATGCACCTTATTGCATCTCGGTGCAGTAATGTACTGAATGCACCTTATTGCACCTCGGTGCAGTAATGTACTGAATGCACCTTATTGCACCTCGGTGCTCAAAAGCAGCAAGTGCAACTTAATTAGCGCAACTCTCGTGATTCTGGAACTGCTCATGTAATCTCCACAGCAACGTTTCATTGTGCAAATAATGAATTCTACAGAAGAAAGTCGCCATGTTTTGAAAAAGAAAATGCGGATAATTTCCGGTCGTATTATGTAAGTCTAAATTAACGTTGAATATTTCTCCTATCCTAAAATTTTCAAGTTCGTGAAAATCTACCGGCAGACTTTTCTACGGCTGCCTTGTATTACCCAGTTCTTCACTATCATCAGAATCGTGGGTTTGATTTGTTATTCAAACCATAAAATTAACTTTAAAAATATGTCGGCGTTGATTAATAGGCCTGATGTGGCTTGTCGCCGATTTTTGTACTTATCTTGACTTGTTCACAGGAAATCTAAAAACAGGTCTTTTGACCGGATCTTTTCCAAACTGACGATAGTTTGAAATAGCTGCTTATAGACTTTCACTATGTTCGATATGGTGCTGAACATTTCAAGTCTAAACATATATTTTTCCATAGCTTTATCTAGTCTGTTCTTGAACGCGTTCATACTCGGAGCGCCAACGATGAAATCGGGGAGGCTATTCCACATGTCGGCGATTTGAAGCGAGAAGAAATGTTGTCGCATGGATGAGTTGTAATGCATATTTTTTAAAGTTTATAATCGCAAGGCCCTGGGGTTGATTCTAATTTAAAATTCCAGTAATCATTCAGGGACCTTGTATAAACCATGGCCATACTTGTATACTTCAATGAGGTCCCCAAGCAGACGTCGATAACAGAGACTGGAAAGCTTCATAATATTTAATCTTTCCTCATAAGATTTGTCAAGCCAGGAATTAAATCTAGCTTCTTATTTCTGGGCAAAACGCAGTTGAAACGGCCGTCATGAGCAAAGGTGGCGGCCCGGAAATATCGAGACCGTAAGAAGATAATCGTGGGAATGAACACGAGTTCGAGTTACGGGATCAGGATAATTAAAAAAATTCTGAGCCGCAACCGGTTCTTGGCCGAATAAAGACAGACGGAGCCGTGAAACTATATCCGGCCATCTATCTCGAAAACTGCGCTGCTCCATGGCGAATATAGAGAAAAATTCTATAGCTAGGCTACCCGAAAATGCTTGGAATTCTCAACTGCGAGGCCGTGATAATGCAATTGGTAAACAACATTATCATATTATATTTATGCCGGCGCTGAGTAATAGGCGTGATGTGGCCTGTAGCCGATTCTTGTACTTTTATACAGGAGATATAAAAACAGGTCCTTCGACCGGAGCTTTTCAAGACTGACGATAGTTTGAAATGACTACCAGACTTCCACCGGGTTCAATATGGTGTTAGGCATTTCAAGTCTAAACATATATTTTTCCATAGCTTTATCTAGTCTGTTCTTGAACGCGTTCATACTTGGGGCGCCAACGATGTCATTGGGGAGGCTGTTCCACATGTCGGTGATTCGAAGCGAGAAGAAATTTTGTCGCGTGGAGAAGTTGCAGCGCAGTTTTTTAACGTCAACTCAACGCGTCTCATCACAGCCGCCGTTTAATTTATTGTATCGTAAACGTATCGTATCGTAAATATATCGTATATCGTAAACGGCACAAATTATTGGACTTTAGCTCGATACGTGAATATATTTTGCTTATATGAATGTCAACTCAGGCAACATATGGAAGATAGCATTGCATCTCTTACGTATATCGAGTCTTTAACTCTACCGATGTTAGGAAGTAATATGGGGCTTCAAGAATATTAAAGACTGTCTTCTTCGCTATAAAATACACAATTTATCAAAAAATTGAAGGGATGAATCTAAAAAAAAATATTTCCGTCAAAGTTTATGAACTTCTCGAGCCGGCGCTCGCTTCTTATGCAGCATTGAGGTCTCCTTACTCGGTGACCTCATTCACATACACCGCACGGCTCGCGTCCTGCCTAAACTTGATAAACTTATTACAAACTTTACTGAAACTGGAGCCTTACCATGACTAGATGTTATAAAGGTATAATCCAGACACCAGGATTAATCATAGAGACTCCCGTCACTAAGCACACACCCTTACGGCACCACGTCTGACAGTGAACTGCCGACCGTGGCTTCTTGGGACTCGAGGACCCAAACAACAACACTGACCAGCCAACAACAACACTGACCAGCCAACAACAACACTGACCAGCCAACAACATTCGCTTTCCTTCCTGCCCGTAGGAAAAGAAAGCTTCATTCAGTTCACCAACTCTTATTCTCACCAACACTTCACTGGCTTTCTCACGTCACCAGCAGCGCTAAGTACACGACAGGATGCACTGCATGCTGCTGTCATCACAGCGTCGCTTTCTTCTCGTGGTAAAGACTACAAATCCATTACATAATTATGATCAGTGATACAATCGTGATCCAGATGCTCAATGCATTATATAAATATTACAAATTATATAACTATATGTAATAAATTAGTAATGGGCCAATTAAAGAGCCAAAAAAGCCTCTTTTAATTGCTAATGAAACAATTTTCGAACATGCGGACAAAAATTTAATTTTTGCATTCGGTTGCAAGCAGGTTAATGGCATTATTTTCTAGTTTTCAGTGCTATTTGGAAGCTGATGTATCATTTTAATTCTTTCGTAATGACACGTACTTTAATTATTTTTTAAACAAGGTTATTCGGTATTTCAATCTGAGCCATAAACTTGAAGCTTAAATTAACTGTAAATTATAAAATTAATAGCGAGAACCGAGACAGACCAGAACAAAGTACAAATTTGACCACAAAGGAACGACTGCCACCATTGCGCATCACCAAGACCACGATGACGCCATGACTAAGACCATCTCAAAGACCACTCAAAAAACTAGTTGGTTTAATGACTCACTTGCACTGCGTGAGCTGTCGAGCAGCAGCCGAGCAGCAGCAGCAGCGCTGCGTATAATCTGCTTCTGTCCTCCACCATCTGAAACGAAATAAATAAAATTTCTCAAATATACATCATTAAATATCACTAATATTAATAAATTGTACAAAAAAATGAAATATTATACAGTAATAAGTCTTCATTAGAGCGTTTAGTGCAATATAGCTTGTCTGTATTTCCAAAGGCACAGCAATCGAATCAAATTCACGAAATATTTAATTAAAGCAAATTCAAAAACCTAAAACAATACTGTGCATTAAAACCAATTTTATGTAAATGAACTAAATTGAAGCTTGTTCAAAGTTTGCCAAATCTGTGAATTTAATTTTACTTTTCATTCCAGCTTAGAAGTCCACTTAGTTTAGGTTATATTCGGATTATCGAAGACTAACCGATGATCCACCGGCGCTGATGCGGCGCTAATTATCAGTAATTAAGTAGATAGAAACTCGACGTAATTAATTACTTAGAAAACGAAACTTTTTGTGAATAAACAGAAACCTTACAACGATTGCGCTGGGCGCTCATCTGAAACAATCAAAGCGGCGGTTTTTCTCCATCAGAGAAACTGAGGCATTTAGTTACTTTGCGGCAGCGCTCGTTAGCGCGCCAGATTATGTTCTTTTTCTGTGCGTGGTTTCAGATAGGAACTTCTATGCGCTGAGGATCTCACTAAACTCGTCCAACAGGTATAGTTATAGGCGGATTAAGGGTGGCCACTATGCAGGAGGTCGCTCTCTGCGTTAACGATGGTCAAAAATCCATCTCCAAGAGTCGAGAATCCATTCCCATAGGTCGAGAATCCATTCCCGAGGGTGGAGAATCCATTCTTAATGGTCAAGAATCCATTTCTGATGGCCAAGAACCGTTTCCGACGCACAATTAATCAGTCCCTAATAGGCAAGAATCCACTTTCGATGGTCAAGAATCTATTGTCTATAGTTAGAAGTCCGTCCCCGACAGCCAAACGTTCTCTCACGCTCGCAATCTTCAGCCAAGTGTCGGCGGAGGGAATGATTTAGACTACACGGTTAATTGATTGGTCTAGAAGACCGTCATATAAAATGTGATCGTCGTACGTGAGAACAAACTCTATCAGCTTTAATCACCATCGCCTACCTTGTTAACTTTTACTAATTATCTTTCTCCATTTCCCACCCACGTACGATATATAGTATAACCTGAGTGACATTTTTTCGATTTATTATAACTTTCTAAAGTTTTTTCCCGTGATGTTTAGTCGGTATTTCCGATTTTTAGTTGGTATTTCCGATTTTTAGTTGGTATTTCCGGTTTTTAGTTGGTATTTCCGATTTTTAGTTGGTATTTCCCTGACAAGCGAACAACGGTGCCACCCACTCCTCCAGTCCAGTTACCAACCCAGCGCAAATATCAACTATCCATAAATTGATTTATTTACGCAAGTCTCAGGGCACTTGATGCATGCATAGAGAAAAATTGTGTGCATCAATCGACCAAGGTACGGTAGGTGCAATTTCCATCCATAAGCCTTGCATGTGTTGCAGTTACAATAAATGTAACGTCAATAAATGGGCCGTAAAGGTCGCAGTTACAATAAATATAACGAGAATAAATTTCATCAGTATCAAACATGCATCGAACTAATCAGCTTCTTTATTCGTCAGCAAATTGGCTGCACTGTAAATGCCACTAAATTTCACTAATTCATAAGGAAATATGGAATTATTCTTCACATTCAACCGAGATTAGCAATTTATTTGTCTATATATTCACGCACTAGAATTCTTTTCCTTCATTTAAAGCATAACTAGGTGCCTAATTTTTAATAAGATTCTTTGCTAATCACTAACTAAACATCTAAATAAACTATTTTCATTACGAACTATTAAAGACTATTTGCCCTGACATGTAACACAGAATTCTTCTGCTTATGATAATTAATGTTTTGAATTCGTATCTAAATATTAAATTTTATATAAATTGGCAGTGCAGATATTCACTTCAAAGAATTAATTTCATGTCAACAAATGTGCACACTAGTCTCCTGAATGCCATCGCTTCGATGGTACCCGTCCATAAGGTGTGGTCTACCATTTCTAGCGGTGCACTTCGCACGCGTGTGTCACGAGGTTCATGGGAACGTAGTTGGTGCTAACGAGTTTCATGGTGCACAGTATCATGTCTTCGAGTTGAAAACGTAAAACGACATTCAACGTGAAAACGTGAAACGACATTCAACGTGAAAACGTGAAACGACATTCAACGTGAAAACGTGAAACGACATTCACGAGCTTCATGGTGCACAATATCACGTCTTCGTGGCAGCGATGCTTGCGACACTGCATGCGGTAATCGCAACGATCCGAACTGCCGCGCATTCAACCATTTCTATACAAGCTCGACGATTTCTATATAACCTGACGCCCAAATTTGGAGTACATAAGAAAATTTAGGCGAGTGTTTTACCTGGGGAAAAGCGAGTCGAATAATTACATTTGATTAATTATTTAGTGAGCTCGTTCACTCGTACAGCGAAGTGGACATGTCTGTAATCGTGGGAGGAAAGCAGCGAAAGTGTAAGGGTTGCTCGAAGCTTTCATAAAGAAGTCCACTTATATTACTCGAGTGAAATGTGATGTTTCGATTGTATTTTATGGGTTTGAAGTATTCTTTGGGCAATTTTCAATAAAAAACATGATATCCCACTATTTGATTGAAAAAAAGTCGCAAAATAGATCGCCTATTAAATTACTCGTAATTCTGTTTAACGAAGTAGATAGCTGGACCGTTCCAAGCATAAAGTAAACCGATATGTAAGGAATAATTCTGCAATACATGAGCGTGTTTGGTTGGCACAGAGATAAAGTCGTAATTAATTAATTATAATTGGGGGGGGCAGATGTTGAGTGGGTCACCAAACGAGCAGCGGTGACGAGAATCTGTAGCAAAAATGCTATAGCAGCGCCTGTGCAACGCAATACATACTACAATAAATCCAGCAATATTAAAATCTACCAAAATGATTTATCAATAATATTTTAAATGATTTATCAATAATATTTTAAATACATCTCATCGAAACTTTTTAAGAAAAGGGAAACCAGATTTCAATTGACAAATTATAGAAAAATTAATGAAACAAAATTCTTATAGGCTTCACCACAATTTGTTGGTCACCTTGCCTGTCAATAAGAACGTCAACCGACGTTGGTACTAAAGAAACATAGAAGAAAAACTTTCACTGTGTCTGCTGGAGCCTCCGCCGTATATAGTCTGCTTGCCATACCAAGTACGGCAATTAAAATAATGTCTTACTTCACAAAATTATGCAATATAACACACAATAAATATACTGTTCAAACAAACAAAATGCTATTAAAGTGAAGTCGTTTCATACTGACCGCTTATGTTTAATGGTCTCAAATAGGCAGGAATTTCGTGCATTTTCATGCCGCAATTTATATTACGATGTCGTAATTACGTTAGCCAAATATCATGGAGGTTTTGTAATGAAGTTGTGAGTTGCAGCAGTAGAGTTAAAGTTTACAATAAACGTCTAACTTAGGAGTGCCGAAGTTTTAAATGAACGTCGAACTTAATAGTGCTCAAGTTTACAATAAACGTCGAACTTAGGAGTGCCGAAGTTTTCAATGAACGTCGAACTTAGGATTGCTCAATACACCGTGGGAGGACGCGGTGGTCACTAAACAAGCTGCTGCCTTGAATAGTGATGGCAATACAGCATGTAAGTTGCTTGTATAGCGCATTAGTGGCGCATACAGTTGCTTGTACAGCGCATACAGCTGCCTGAGTGGTGCATACAGTTGCTTGTATAACGCATGCAGCTGCCTGCGTGGCGCATACAGTTGCTTGTATAAACCATACAGTTGCTTGTATAAACCATACAGCTGCCCGCGTGGCGCATACAGTTGCTTGTATAAACCATACAGCTGCCTGCGTGGTGCATAAAGTTGCTTGTATAACGCATGCAGCTGCCTGCGTGGCGCATACAGTTGCTTGTATGAACCATACAGCTGCCTGCGCGTCGCTCTATTTAACACCAACAGTTGACAGCTTGCACGATGTCAGCTTGTAGCTGCACACTAACACAGAAATAATTAAGTAACACTCATGCAGGCCTGTTGAGGGCAATGGCATTGTGTGCCCT